GCCATCGAATAGCGCACCGAGCCATCATCGTCGAAAATGCGTCAGAACCGATCGCGTGACGAATAAAAAGACCCCCAAAGTCTCGAGACATCGAGTTTGCCTCGAACCGAATGATACATTTTTATCGTCGTCTATCTGTGGTCGTCGTTAGATAATTAACGCGTTGTATTAGGCCGTCCGAAAAGTTTCTTTCGTTTAATAAGCAAATAATGGATGCACAATATCTTCCGTTTTATATTATTTTATCGAATTACTTATTATCCATTTCGTTCTATCAAAATAAAAATCACAACGTTCGACAGATTAGGTTTCATGTTTGTATAAAAATGCGTCGTTGTTAAAGACGTATCTGTAAAAGAAAGACACTCTTCGGAAAAAACTAATAATTACATGACGAAGTTACATACGCAACGCAACTTTGAAATTGCGACGCAGAGTTACTTTTTCTTGCTCTGGGACACCGACGAGTGTAGTGTCTATTAAACTATATATATTACTTTCCTGTATCAGGTATATGCGTGTAAATACGTTATTTGCATTTTGCACTTGTGTAACATTTTAACGTCTTTTTCTGTCAACTCGATAATTAAAAATCATATTCGCTAGAAAAATGTTCTCTTCGTATATTCCAAGGTGTCGTTTGATAGGATCAAAGGATAGTAGTTTTCGTCGTTAGATTTACATTTTTTGACAAAGTCGAGAGGGTAATCGGGGGAAGAAATTCAGTCTTTCCGGTCGGGCTTTAATTTAAAGATTGATAAACTCTGGTTGTTTTAAAATTTGAAAATATGAAATATGAAAAAATTGAGATACGTGATTATTCGAGTTAAGATATCGAGTCTTTGTTATCGTATTATTTTCGATAATACCTGTAACTTTACTATAAATCGATCACGTTAGAATATCTTCGAGAAGAAAGAAATCCTCTTAAATGTAAAATTCAATTACTTTTGCAGAATGTAAACATTTATAAAATTCATATGTATAATTCATATTAGGAATGTCAAAGAAACTACTTACAATTGGTCATAAAAAGATCGAGAGACTGTACAATTTTAATTACTAAAGTCGTACGTTTTCAGTGGATGTACAAGGACAGACAAAAATATTTTGTACTATATTACACTACACTATGCAAATAACAGTGGAAAAAAGCTTTTAAAAGATATTATTCATTGTCGTCTAAATGTTGAAAAAAACATTGAAGAAGAGTGAATTTTTATGTCACAAAAAGTTTCGGACACTAATACTAATTATGCAGATAAAATTAGACTAATGATAATTATTAGGGAAAATTTAATATTTAATCGGATTTCCCGCATGTTTAAAGATAATATCTAAACATTTTGACATAGTGGAAATAAGTTTCTTACGATAATGAACACTGATTTCTTTTTCTACATTCTACTTCTAAAAGTTTCTTCAGCATACCCTCTATTTCACCAATGCACTTTGTCTTTTCGTAGCGGAATACTCATAATTATCGTATTTTTAAACCTGTACATCGGCTTTTGCAATTCGTAAACAAACTGCTAACAAAACCAATGCGCGAAATGCGATCACATTTCGGCAAAGTATTTGTTTATAAAGATTGTATAAAAACACTGACACTACTAATGAAAAACTAAATTAACAAATCGTTGAATCTTGCGTTCGAATCTTTCTCTGACATAAAAATTCGCTGTTTTTCCGTATTTTCTTCGATACTTAGACAAGAATAAACGATAACACAACAGTTCTTTTTCAAGCTGTTATCTACAAAAAGTAACGTGACATAATGTGATAATGTGATTTGTGTTGGGCCTTGTACATATTAGGTTGTCCGAAAAGTGTCTTTGTTATACAGACCCGTCATTTACAACGATGCATCTTCATACAAACATGAAACTTAATCTGTCGAACGTTGTGATCTTTATTTTGATAGAACAGAATGGATCATACGTAATTCGATAAAATAAAATGGAAAATGTGCATCCATTATTTCCCTATAAAACGAAAGAAACTTTTCGGACGACCTAATACCTTTACCGAAAATATACAGCTTGGAAATAAAAATTGTACAGCGTCCGAATCTTTTTGCAACCGACTGTACATCCAGTAAAACTCTATCATCTTCTATCCTCGTTCATTTATTCTTCTTCCTTTCTTCTTGTTTTGGGTTTCTTAACGATTCGTTTTGATTTCAGGAACACCGATCAACCGACTGCCAATAATGGCAAAATCGGTACTTGATCTATACGAGCTGTATAATTTAGTGATTGCTCGGGGCGGACTTGTAGACGTAATCAACAAGAAGCTCTGGCAGGAAATCATCAAAGGCCTCCACCTGCCGTCAAGTATCACTTCCGCTGCGTTTACTCTACGCACCCAGTAAGTAGATCGTGAAGTTTCTCATCCGGGACCCTATTCCGCCTGGTGCCTATTCGCTGGTAATTCGCATACAATAAGTCCCCGCGTTCGACAAAAGCTCATCTGAGCATGAAATCTGCCGCGATGACTAAGGACCAGGCGTTTCGTGTCGTTTCATATCCCGAAACAGCTATTCGACACTCAGCCTGCGTCTTTTCTATTGCCATTCTTTTAATCTAATCGATCCTCCTTTTTTCATTTTTTTCTATAAAAACAACAAAGGTAAGTATCATCCTGATCTTTACTCGTCGTATATGTTCGTCGCTTTGTACATAGCAAAATAATTCGCTTAATATCCGACCATTGACTTCGAATTTGTTGATAAATTATTTAGAAATTTCTTTTTTTAATATTTAAGAATGCACTTGAGCCATTTGATAAGAGAAAAGGATGAAAGAACAAGCAAAAAGCCTACCGATGTCCCTATCGTCGATGCAGTTTCTTTAAGGTATCGCGTCATATTGTCATATCATCGTGGACGAACGAACAAACGTTGATCCATTGCGTATTACAACGATGTGAAGTTTCGTTCTGTACTAATTAGCAAGCGAGATTTTTGTCGCTTAGGAAAAATCAATATTGGGAGATATAAAATTAGAATATATAGAAAAATAGTTGATCCAATAGCAAAGAAGGTCCGATCATATCGAACCAAACGCGAGCCAGTTAAAAGTTAATAAAATCGTGGTACGTTCGCATGGTATGGGCCGATAGCGAGACCAACGCGAGTTGGTACCGTGAATTGCAAGTAAATCGGCGCTCGTTGCCAAACAACTAACGCTCGAAATGAGACATCTTTTTAAGCTTCGGATAGCTCATTACGACGTTTAAAAATTCACGAGCATAATTTATTAGAAGAAAGATTTTTATTTGCCTTAACTTCCTTTCGTCGTTAATTTACCGTTGATCCTAACCATTAGCGTTTCCTCTATATGTTTCTATAACTAACGTTAAGCAAAGGAGAATTGTTACTTTATGATTAAATAATCAATTAATTGTCGATTAATAATTATGCGCCTGTTTTGATCTGTGTTACTGAATTTTAATCACTTGCGCTGAAAAGACGAGCCACGCACGTCGAGACGTTCTTGTATTATACAAACACGTCTTATACAAATCAAATAATACATTTATTTTATTTTAGTAATTTCAACCCATGTTCCGTACCGCGACCCAGCCATTATATACTCGTCCATTTCTTCATCCACGGTACTTCACAATCCTTTTATATTTCTATAACAACTTTTCGACAATAGCCGTTTCTAATTTTCTAAGGATGCCATATACCTTCTTTTTTTTTACTTATTTCTCTGTTATTCCTCTTGTCTACGATTTCTTCAACATACTCACTCTGATCAGCAATAATACTCAAGGAACCGTTACTGCCGTGTCCAAATATTTAATATTTATTATCACTGATTCCATCTGCCTGCCATAAGGCTTAGTGTTTGCTGTCAAATCCTTTATTTTCACGAAACATTATTGTTTTTTTCTTTTTTTTTTTTTTTAGTGGTTTTATTAATGGTAACGGTTAATCCCTCTCCTTGAGACACGCAGGATTTCCGGGATTCCGGCATTTTAATTCTCATTTTTTCCTATTTGCTTTTTCGACCAATTAGCAGCAATGACCGACAACGATGACAAATTTTACAAAATGGATGTCTTTCCGATTATCGATAGCACGGAATATTCATTTTCCAAGGAATATTCTACACGTGAAAGCTAAAAAAATACACAAAGAAGGTACAGAGTATGTGCGAAACGGAAGAAACAGTGAAACTAATGCCTTATGGCTTTCACATCCTGCCACTAGAAATTTCCGACTGTTTTCAGATATATCATAGTCTAGAAAATTCTTAATAATCAAAATTGGTATCGACATCTGTGTAAAGTTCTTCGTGTAAGATTCTTCTCGCTTCAAACGACACCTCACGGCGAGTTATAGCGTAACGTGCTGGCACGCGTATCTGTAAATTCGTTGCCAGCGCAAGTGGTTAATGATCTTTGCATTTTCAACACATGTGTTAGCTATAAATGTTGTATTCTGCTTATTATAAACGTATTTTATTAAAGTCGAGCTGTATGGGATGTATAAGAAGCAAATATAGGAACCACCGATTCTAAACGCTTGTAATTTTCAATGTCAAAATTTCTTTCCTTTCAATAGACTAATAAGCACGAGGGACAAAGATCTCGAAGAAACTATGGATCGCAAATGACCTCTTCTACCGAGAAAAAGGCTGAAATTTTAATAATTCTTAAACTGGCTCCATTCGCAATGCATTTGCTTTTATTTCACATTCAATGAGGAAGTGGCGTGCTATCTACGAAGCAAGAGGAAATCAAAGGATGCGGAAATCAATCAGAATACAGAGAAAACACGATTGTCGTCGGTTGTGTTAACAATCTGACGATAGTCGAGAATTAACATCGTAATGTCTGAACGCAGATCGAACAGGTGTAAATTGGCGTAAGGAATTAATAATTGCTATTAGACCCACATAGAATAGTTCGTTGAGCGAGAATTAATCGTATAATTCGTATAATTCGAGATGAAAGTTTACGATCGTACAGAATTCGCTGCGTTCAAACACTGAAACATTGTTCCGTCCGGAATACCCAAGGAACCGCGTCAGGTTTTCGTCGGTAAAATTTATGGCATGGCCGTAAAGAGGACTAATTTTGAATTGAATCCTTATAGCTCATTAGGACAGACGTGCAAATTGCGTTTGGAATGTTTAGTTTATGTTGCATGCAATAGGCAGAGGCGTGTTATAAGTTAGATACCTTCGGAGGATACTTTGAAATTACGATACGATGGTACAAGCTGCCGAGATTTCTGACCTGTGTCTTCTTACCAATGGAAGATGATCGTGACACGCTTAGGATATCGTCTACTAAAAGACTAACTCTGCTAACGATCAATCGGCGTGTGTCCTGCAGAAACTCGAGAGCTCGGGCAATTCTAGTGCAAACAGACATATTCTAACATTCCAACGATATGAACATATTCTAACGTTCGATGGACACGGCAGGTGTAGGCAGGTAGTACAAACAACACAAATACATACATTACGTTGCACTCGACTATAAATCTTTCTCATTAAAGTACAAGTTTCTTGATTGTTTACAAAAACCATGAAGGAAATCTCAAGTGGCAAGCAAAGTTGTAATTTGTTCTTGAACGCGATGTGTACGAGTTCGCGCAAGAAAATTCGACTTTGAATTTGGCTCTTTTTTTGAGGGCTAATTTGATCGGACTGTACCGTGTCATCCTTCGAACGTTCACACGCAAAAGAGCGATTTACTTGTTTCGTTAGTCTATCGTAATCGCTTTACCAGATCGCTGTTCCGTGTGTCTTTTTGATACAACGAGGAAAAGCCGAGAAACGAGCGATCGGTTCGTTCTGTGTCTTTGGATCGAATTTTGATACGCAACGGGGCTACACTTGGTCATCCACGTTGATACGCAAGAGAAAACTATCGAAAAACGATCTTTGATATTTAAGGTGGTCCTTGACGTTTACCCTGAACACGAAAGAATTACGCATACCAATAACAATTTCCTCGCATATTCCTGAAATTCAAGAAACGTTCTAACGATCGGCGAAAATCACGAGTGAAAAACGACGTGAGAAACGATTCAAAGAGAGCAGCGTGATTACACTGTGGATCGATTCGAATGTAATAGATGTAAATACGAAATAAAGAAGCGAGAAAAGAATAGTCGAGGGGACATCAAAGGGTGCTCCACGTCTTTTGGACAGCCGTTGTTTGGGAAATACTATCATCATTACCATTGGTAAACGCGAGCACCAAGAAAGAATGTTTGTGTGCTTAAGATGGCGGCTTGTATCAGGAACAGCGTGTTCTCCGCGAAACAAAAATATACGAACCGCGGCGGCGGCACAAAAGAAGCTCGGTCAGGGGAACACACAATATTAACGCTCCTGGCCGTGCTGGGAACACTCAAAACCATGGAAAGAAGCCGGCGAGCGTGGCGGCCGGCTC